TATGTTAGAAGAACCTGATTTGTACTCTATAGTAAAATTGTACCCCATTAAGTTGTACGCATACTTTTGCTGTTCTGGAGTCTGAATTGTCTGCCTCAAAAGTTCTCTCAAGCTTTGGTGGTCAGTCTTGATTATAAAATGGGAACCAAGGAGATAATGGCGCCATTTTTTGATTGCTTCTGTTATAGGATACAGCTCCCTGACATATGCAGAAGCTACTGCCATTCTTGGTCATAATTTCTTACTAAAATAGGATACTGGTTTATTGCCTTGTAATAACACTACTCCAACTCCAATATTGGATGCATCTGATTCCACTATGAAGGATGACTTGAAATCGCGTAATTGTAAGACTGGAGTAGTGGACATGGCTACTTTCAAAGTTTGAAAAGCAGCATCTGCATTCAAAGTCCAGTCCCGTTTATCCTTCTTCAACAAATCAATTAAAGGTTGGGCCAAAAAGCATAGCCTTGCACGAATTTCCTGTAGTAGCCTGTGAGTCCCAAAAAAGCTTTGAATTGCTTGAGAGACTTAGGAATTGGCCATTCTAGCATAGCCTCAATCTTCTTAGGGTCAGCTTTCACACCCTTTACTGTCACAACATGACCCAAGTATGCAATCTCACTTACCCCGAATTCACATTTGCTCAATTTGACAAAAAATGAGTTATCAATTAAGCAATTTAAAGCTGTAGCCAAATGATGTTGATGATCTGTCATGGAGGAACTGTAGATCAAGACATCATCAAAGAAAACAACAATGAATTTACGAAGGAATGGTCTAAAAATTTGATTCATAGTTGCTTGAAAAGTTGCAGGAGCATTGGTTAAGCCAAATGGCATAACCTTGAACTCATAATGTCATTCATGAGTTCTAAATGCTGTCTTGTGTATGTCTTCATGCTTCATACGTATTTGATGGTAACCTGATCTTAGATCAAGCTTGCTAAACAATTTAGCATTGTATAATTCATCTAGGAGCTCGTCTATAGTATGTATAGGAAAAGCATTCTTGACTGTTAAATCATTTAAAGCTCTATAGTCAATGCATATTCTCCAAGTATGATCATGTTTTCTCACTAACAAAACTGGAGAAGAGAAGGCACTATGACTTTGTTGTATCCAACCAGAATTTAAAAGTTCAGTTACCTGCCTTTCAATTTCTTCCTTTTGATGATGAGGATATCTATAAGGCTTGACTTTCACAGCTTTGGATTCATCCACCAATGGAATGGCATGTGTCAATTCTCTAAATGGAGGTAGTGCTTTAGGCAACTCAAACACATACTGAGACTTTGACAAAATTGCCCAAAGCTCCTCTGGAATTTTATCTTGAATGTGAAGCAGTTCAGAATTGACCTCGAACTGCTTGTTTGGTTCCTGAACAACCAAGGCATGCATTGTTGTGTCATTCTCAGTTTCCAGCTGCTGTTTCTGGTGTGGCTCAATACCCTTCAAAGATATTAGCTTGTTATTCCGAGTAAACTCCATGGACAACTCCCCATAATTGTGAGTGACTCTCCTCAAGGTAACCAGCCATTGCATCCCCAAAACTATCTTGAGATTGCACAAGTCCAAAACATATAAATCAGTCACAAATGTGTGACCTTGAATCAACATATGTACTTGTAGACACTTCCTGTCACAAATCAAAAATTCACCATTCCCCATGAACGCTCACATTTTATTAGTTCTAACCATATTCAATTGTAGCTCTTCTACCAAACCTCTTTGAATGAAGTTATGAGAGCTGCCTGAATCGACCAAAATTTTGATTCTGCCTACAACCATATCTGCCAATAAAACCAAGGATTTGACATCTGTCCTACCAGATAATGAATGCAGTGCTGCATCCATTTTAATGTCTGTGGATTCTTCCTTACGCCAAATAATCTCCTCATCTGATTCTCCATCGGATTCATCACTGTCCACTACCAACACCAACATCTGTGCGTTACTACATCTATGTTTCTTGGACCATTTCTCATCACAAACATAACACAATCCCAATTCTCTCTTTTTGACTAAATCTTCAGAAGACATCTTTTGAATAGGTAAATTGGAATTTGAAACTGATAGTGTAGTGGATGAATTAGAGGTTACCTTCTCTGGTGTTGGTCCTACATTAGATCGAGGAACAAATTTCTTCTGCTGATTTTGAAATGAAGAACGCAATTCTCCATGATGACTGTCATAAGCTATAGCAAGTTGCATAGCTTGGTGCAAGGAAGTAGGCCATCTCAATTGAACTGCCCCTTGTAACTCCGGTTGTAAGCCCGCAACAAAAAAAGTCATCAATAACTCATCATTGACATTAGAGACTTGATTCATTAATCGTTGAAATTCTGCCATATAATCCGCTAATGTACCAGACTGCATCAACTTAGCTAACACTCCTCTAATATCCTTGTATGTTGAAGGTCCAAATCGTTCCCGAACAGCTCTCACAAATTGTTCCCACGAATTGAGAGTACCACTACTAAACATCCACTGGAACCAATCTGCCGCTATTCCCTCCATGCGCAACCCAGCAAGTTCCATCTTGAGTTGTTCTGGCACATGTTGAATTTTGAAGAACAAATAAGTCTTAAAAATCCATATATTTGGGTCTTTCCCATCAAATTTGGGAATTTCGGGCTTGATGAATTTTAGCACCGAACGTGGATCCTCATTACTTGCAACATGATGATTGACTACTCGAGGCCCTGATGAAGCCACATTATTGCTATGAACATCAGAAGTTGTACCTTGTGATTGAATGTTGGATTCACGAATTGTATTCTGCATTTCCTGGAATCGATTTTCCATCGCCGTGAACAACAGCTCAATGCGTTGATTGTTTTGCTCGCGATACTGCATGAACTCCTCTGCTAACTCTTGAAGTTTCATGATCGCCATGGGTTTGGGATCTTGACTCCACAAGAACGAAAGCACCAATGATACAGAGATAGTCTCTGTAACTGAATAACTGTCTCAATATATTTCTTCAATTAACAATGATACCTGTCTCATTACACATGTCAGTATTTATACATGCAAACTCTCTTAATCTTGACACATCAACCAGCACGTGTCTAACTGCCGCTTACTAACTAGTTACACTAATACAATGACAATTATATGATAAAAGGCCCATGGACTTATTCTATTGCATCACATGGTCCACAACCCATGAGGGAAAGCCTTTCACCCTCTGTCCTCTTCTCTCTGGTTGTATTCCATCTCTAAGATAATCCCTTTGAGCAAATAGGTTATACGAATTTGGAGTTGCATGTAGAAACAGTGGCAAGGTGCGGCCTTGTGTTCGCCATTGCGTTTGGTATTTTATCAAACCAAAAATTCTAACTCGACCACTGCCACAGAACATTCTAGCAAAACTTTTCTGAAATGAGATATTTGAATAATTTATTTAGAAAAAGATGTCAATTTGGTTGTGTTGGGAAATAAACACCAATTTTCCCTTCCAGAACCTGTTTAGAATGGTTTCCAACAAGCAAAATATATGTTCTAATGACAATTATGCATGAACCAAAAACACCAAGCAACACAAGTCAATTTTAATGTGGAAAACCTCCTCAATGTGAGGAGTAAAAACCACGGGACCGATTTCATAATCCACCCAAATTCTCCACTATCAACAAATTGAGATTACAAAAGGTTCCAAAGCAATTACAATCAGCTATAGCACCATCAAAACAACTTCCCAACTAATTGTACAAAAAATGCAAGAGACATACATATATGACCAAGCTTCTGTCCGAAATTAATCTAAAACAACAGAGGCGTCTACTTCCAAATCGCAACGGTCAGATTAAAGAAAAACAAGAGAGGAACACACTGACTAATTTTGAGGACAATCGCACGGTTGACCAAAGAGAAACCTCTCTCTGAACTTCACTGCCCAGAACAGAGCAGAAAAATGACGACCTCTGTTTAGAGCTGAATAATTCCCTCTTGACAGCTCCAATCGCAAAACTGAACGGTCAAAATCTAGTACAGTATGTTATTAACCTTGTATCAAAATTTCAGCTCAGATCAACGGTTCATTTGGGAGAGACGAATCTCGCAACCTTGGTGCCTTTTGCAGAACTCTGCACACAGACCACTTCGGTTTGCAATTTTCTGCTGCTGATGCAGACCTCCGATCAAGATTCTGACCGGTAGAAATGAAGAGGCATGAGATGGGAAGGTGCTGAAAAAATTTCAACTCAATCAGACCACAAACAAATGAGATATCACAGAATCTTCAGACTCTGCTCCTCCCACTCTTCACCTGCGAATTTTCTGGTTTTGGTGGCTGGTCTCTCCCTCTTGAGAAAATGCTCTCCTCACACACTCAAATGACAGCTAATCATACTACACAAAGGAACCCTAGGTGTGTATTCCTTATTGGGCTGGACATTTGGCCTTTTAATTGGTAAAGGCCCAATAGGTTGTTGTCATATGATAGTTTAAATGAACATTATATCATATAATAAAATGATTTTATATCTATAAGACGAGCCTTCTTATGTTATAGAGACAAAAATCATTCAAAACCCATATGTTAAAAAAAGTCACACATAAAATTTATATTAACACCAAAATTATGAAAAATATAAAATCCATAATAAAAACATATAGGATTAAGATAAGTTCATAAAATATTATTTGAAACCACCTTTAATCTGCTTCAAAATGAATTAGCCTGCAATGGGACAGAGCACATTTTTTGAGTACCACAAGAGTATACTAAAAAATAATAAAATGGGATATGAAACTAAAAATATGGGAAAACATTTTCTAGAGAATATTTTTTTACTACTAATGACTCATAATATAAAATGGATATCACTTTGAATTTTTTTTTTTTCTCTACTATTTTATAGACCCCATTTATAAAAATAAAAGTAATGTAAATAAATTATTTTTTATTATATTTAATAAATCTGACTTAGGAGTGTACTAAATAAAATCCAGATTTAGGGGGGATATTTTTCCCTCAAAAAAGAGTAGGACAAATTCCCTCCAAGTTTGAAGTGGGTAGCAGCATATAGGGTTTGGGGGTTGGATTGTTGTTGGCGGAAGCATGGCATCGTCATCGTCATCATCAAGCAGCAACTACGACGTGCCATGGGTAGAGAAGTACCGACCCAGCAAGGTCGCTGACATCGTCGGCAACGACGACGCCGTTTCCAGGCTCCAAGTCATCGCTCGTGACGGTAACATGCCCAACCTCATTTTATCCGTATGTGATATGTCTCTTCTCTTCATCAGTACTCTCATCACCATCTTAATCACAATTTAACCTAAATTAACAAACAAAAAAAAAAAATCCATTTCCATTCTGATTCTGTTATTTATTTTAGGGTCCTCCTGGAACTGGCAAAACCACTAGTATACTCGCCCTTGCACATGAACTTCTTGGACCAAATTGCAAGGAAGCTGTTCTCGAACTAAACGCATCAGACGATAGGTTCGTTTTTTTTTTTTTACTTTTATCAATTTTTTCTAAATGCACATGAGTTCCTATTAACCTAGCCAGTCACTTTTTAACTATAGAGGAATTGATGTTGTGAGGAACAAGATCAAGATGTTTGCTCAAAAGAAAGTAACACTGCCACAGGGGAGACACAAAATTGTTATACTGGACGAAGCTGATAGGTGAGTTTTGTTTTTATGGTAATTTAATCCTTAAGTTTTTCAATTCATAGTGTTACTTTCCTATTCTTATTTTTTGCTTTTTCAATTTAGCATGACCTCAGGAGCACAGCAAGCTTTGAGAAGGACAATGGAGATATATTCTAATACTACTCGTTTCGCTCTTGCTTGCAATACTTCTTCTAAGATTATTGAGCCCATTCAGAGTAGATGTGCCATTGTTCGATTTTTGAGATTATCTGATCAAGAGATACTCGGTCGCCTCATGGTAGTGGTTCAAGCCGAGAAGGTATCTCAAATTTGTATTCTGCATTTAATCATCTTATGCTGAAGCTATTGGTGTTCATATATTTTTAGAGGAGCATAGTTCTAATGTATTTTTCGCAAGACTTTAGGCTAATATTACAATGACTACTCTCAATTTTATTTTTCTTTCATAACTCATTCTTTGATACCGAAAGGGAGAGCTCTTAATTTTGAAGAAAGATTTATCTGTAAATTTTTTTCCCGGTAACCCTAAAATTATTACCTCTTCCTAGCCTTCATATTAATTCTCATGTATCAATTTCATATGTAATGCTATATTGTCTTCTGATTGTTTGCATTATTACCCTTCTTTTTAACTCTTAAACTTCTTGCTTGGTCTTCCTCTTGGTTCATCAGTTTTCCCTACCGTAGTTTTATATTCCTTCCTCACTGGGAATTTTTCATCTTATGTTGTTGTACAATGTTTATTTTTGTGTAGTCAGGAAGAAACTGAATGAAGAATTTTGAAGTTTTGCTATTTAGAACTATGGTAATTTTTGCTGCACCGTGTCAACTAAATAGAAGGGGATTCAAAGAGTGCGACACCTTTTCTATCCTATTGCTTTCTTGAAATCAAAATATAATCTTCTTCTAATCAGCAATGTGCAGGACCTTAAAAATGTCATTAATTGGACTTTGACTTGTTTCATGTTTTTGGAAGATGCACGATGTATAGATTTGAAAATTCGTGAAATTGAATGTGACATTTTAACATGTTGATTTTTCCAATGGCTACAAACTTGATGGTTTTATGACCTCTGAGGGATTTCATGTTATTTGACCTCTTGCAAGAGATTTTAAATGATGAGGTCCTTTTGGTTTGTCTGTCAGGAACTGGCTGGCTAGCCCAGTAATAGTTTATTTATATGGAGATGTTTGCTGAATATTTTTTTTAAGTAAATATGCGAGTTCCAGATGTTTTGTTGTATTTTACCTGTTCCATTTTATTCCTTTTACGCTTAAAACTGTGATCTTCTAAAATATGTGATTACTGGCTTGCTTGGTTGTGTTGCTGCTATGTGATATGGTAGTATGGTGATGTTACCAAGTTCATTATCTAGGTTTGCAGGTAATTCATTGCAACTAAATATTGTAGGAGGATATGTTATGTTGTGTACGCATTCTTTGGTTTCTCATTTTAGTCTTTTAAAGGGTGGCCAAATGTATGTATGAGGCTACAGTCATTGTGGGTTCTTTTCAATATCAACATCACCCTTTATCCCAAACTAATTGGGGTTGGCAGTAAATGGACCTTAAATAAGGCATGAACAGCTTATGTGCTCTTTTGTTATAGAATTTTTTTAAAGGTTCTTTTCATTGGCAAGGTGAACTGGTTAGGAATAGCCTATATGGTTATAAAACTGTTTTTAGTTTCCATCTATTTGCTTCAATAATATTGAGGAAATGCATGATTGAACTGTGTTATTGTTGAAGGTTCCCTATGTTCCTGAAGGACTTGAAGCTATCATCTTCACTGCTGATGGTGATATGAGGCAGGCATTGAATAACTTGCAAGCAACATACAGCGGGTTCCAGTTTGTTAACCAAGCAAATGTTTTTAAGGTTAGAATCAACTATGTTTTGCAATTTATGTTTGCCACCATTTACCACTGGTTTTGTTAAAATTTGTGGTTGGTTTCAGGTCTGTGATCAGCCGCATCCACTGCATGTGAAGAATATGGTGCGTAATGTGATTGAAGGGAATTTTGATGAGGCTTGTATGGGCCTCAAGCAACTTTATGACTTGGGATATTCCCCCACAGATATCATCACGACACTTTTTCGTATTATAAAAAATTATGATATGGTTGAGTACCTGAAACTGGAATTCATGAAGGTAGATGTTCTTACATTGCTTCATCCTATTGCTGCTCTTTAATATGTTCTAAAACTGCCAACCCTTGTTACTTATTCATTGGCAGAGGATAGAACTTTTCCTTTTCTGTTTTCCTATATCTGTAGGCCATTTCTTTTACGAAGTATGTGATTGACATGGATTTCTTCAAACTGTAGGAAACTGGATTTGCACATATGAGAATTTGTGATGGAGTTGGTTCTTATCTTCAGCTGTGTGGTCTATTGGCTAAGCTTTCTCTAGCTCGTGAAACAGCTAAAGCTGCATGAGTAGGTTCCAAGTGCAACTAGATATGTCATTACTTTTCGCTTTTGTGATGTTGACAATGTTCTACTGAAGTAGTCTTATATTTGTGATGCCCAAATGCTAATTGATACATTAATGCTTCAGCGTCTATAAATGTTTGTTTAGCTTTGGTCAATATCACTTTTCCAAATATTTTATCTGTATATTATTTAGTTATGATATCATCGATGTTCAACTTGTTACGAGTTAAGCATTACTTCTCAAGACATCTAGAGCTAACAAGCTCTGTAAAATGGTTGTCTACAATATTGTACTAGTGTTAAATTTTTAGGATTTTATCATGACAGAAAAGGGGAAGTTTCTGTGTCTTTTTTGTAGAATGCTTGGTCGAGCAGTTGAAAAATAGCAAATAAAAAAAAACAATAACACGAGATTACTTCTATCATGTATTAGGAGAGAAGTTTTTTTATTTTGAGACAAATAAAGTGAAATTCATCAATTTTTAAAAAAGAGAACAAAAAAAAGAGGCATATTTTTTTAATTTTTTTTTGGAAAACTGATCATAATTACCTCTTTGAGGCGAATCAGAACCCCCGGTATCTCCACGGGTTCGACTCTTTGAGTCGTCTATGGGACTAATCATATCGAACCGAGGTCCTCTCCCATCATTCAGTCCCATGCTACCAACTGAGCCACCACACTTGGGTTGGCATATTTTTCTATGTGAGTGTATGAGAGATCAATCTCAACATGAGAGTATGATTTTCCTTTAACATAATAGAAAAACATGAAAAAAATATATTTATTATTTTGTTCTTTTAACTTATCATTTATTCAAATAAGTAAAAAAAGAACGTTACGGTCTATTCTTCAAATATAAGCAGCTTTGAGCTACGAGTGATGTTCGCTGAAATGACATAACTAACTGATGTGGAAAGTCTAATTATCAAGCTTTTAAAAGGAATTAATGAACATTTCATATGCCTTAAAATTAATAGGAAAGAACGTAAAAATTTATCATTTCGCAGACCAAAAAAACTATAATTTATCAAATGGTAGTTCAGTTGGTGCATGAGAGCTAAGCAGGTGGGGGTGAGAGCATGGTGGTAGCTCAGTTGGCGCATGAGAGCTAAACAGGTGGAGATGAGAGCATGTATTTGAATCTCCCCAGTACCACATTTGGGAGGGGTTTAAAACCTTAATCCTGGACCCGCCCCGAATTGGATTAGTTGCGAAGCAATGAATCGATTGGAATATTTTTAAGAAAAAAAAAACTATAATTTTGGTATAAATAAATAGATGCTAATAAGTAAACTGTGTTACAAATTATAACCGTAAAAATGGGAATGCAATGGCCTTTTGACCTTAGTAGTGTCATATTCATAATGTTTGACCGGAATAATTTCTTGGTCAAATATATTACTTATATAATGCATAATGACGCAGCACGCGAGGAACGATTTAAGACATGATACACGTGCAACCACGTCTTGTGCATTTAATCACATCATTGAAACGTGATACTCTCTCAACCGCGTCCATTGCAAAATTAATTACAAAGGACGCGGTACTGCACCAACCGCGTACTTCTTGAAGAAAGAGGATGTAATTGAAATGACAAGCCTCTAAATATATCAGTTATACAACATTTAGAAAATATATCACTCTTGCGAGTTCTTTACTTAGAAAGTGAGAGTATACGAATGTTTTAATTAAAATTAATTACAACTAAATGATGGATTTTATGTTTATCATGTAATATGATATAACATCACTTTCCTACACACATATTAAAGAGGTGGGGTCCACATGTTTTTCTTTCTCTTTCATCATTTCACTTTCTCTCTCCATTTTTGTGTGTGTGTTGGAAACAATATTTAAATCATGTAACATAACACTAATAAAACCCTTAAATGATATTTGTTGATAGTCATAAAACCAGACTATCAACGGAAAAATAAAACTGAAATGAGTAATTAAGTCTCTAAATACAACCACCGACATCTTACGATCTGCATGCTTCGGTTAATAATATATGATGCAGGTAAACTTTTATTTTGGAGATTCGGTTAATATATTTATCTGCATGCTGATAAAAGTTCACTAAAATAAAATAAAATAATAAGATGCAGATAAATATATTAAAATATTATTTTAATCCAAATTATTATATTTTATGATAAAAAAAATAGTTATACAATAAATATCATGATTAGAGAGTGAGAGTTAGGAATCCAAAAAGGACTTTACTCATTTTTTTAAATATAAATATTAAATTAAAGAGTAAAGTTACTTTTGGGTCTGTAACAAAAAAATACGGTCTCCACTTTCATCCCTTACGATACAAAATCATATTAGCCTTTTTTTATGGACTAAATTAAATTTTCATTGAATTTCTGAAAGACTACATTTTTAAAGAACTGGAATTATAGAGGGATCAAAAGTTGATTTTTTTTTTAAGGCATGAAAGTGAGGACCATATTTTTTGTTAGAGACTCAAAATAGACTTTACTCCAAATAAAATATGCTAATTTTAAATAATATATATATATATATATATGTGTATTATAATGGAAAAATGTCGGTGGTTGTATTTAGAGACTTAATTACTCATTTTAGTTTTATTTTCCTGTTGATAGTCTGGTTTTACGACTATCAACAAAAATCATTTAAACATATTGTAATTAATTTTAATTAAAACATTCGTATACTCTCTCACTTTCTAAGTAAAGAACACGTAGAGTGATATATTTTCTAAATGTTGTATAACTGATATATTTAGAGGATTTTCATTTCAATTAAAACATCCTCTTTCTTCAACAAGTACGCGGTTGGTGCAGTACCGCGTCCTTTGTAATTAATTTTGCAATGGACGCGGTTGAGAGAGTATCATGTTTCAATGATGTGATTGCTCTGAACAACTGCACAGAACGCGGTTGCATGTGTATCGTATCTTAAATCATTTTTCAAAGTACTGCGTCGTTATGCATTATATAGGTAATATATTTGACCAAAAAATTATTCCGATGAAACATTATGAATATGACACTACTAAGGTCAAAAGACCGAATGCAATGCATGTTCAGTTCTATTTAAATTTCATATAGAAATAAGTTGGCTTTTTGACCGTAGTAGGTTGATTTTTATAAGGTTTTACCGGAATAATTTCTTGATCAAAAGTATTACCTATATAATGCATAACGACGCGGTACCATGGGAATCACGTTAGGACGTGGCACTTTAGCAACCGCGTTCTTTGCATTTGTTCCTGACGACTGGAACGTGATACCCTGTCAATCATGTCCTATTCCCAAGACTACTGGAACGTGATACCCTGGGTATCACGTCCTATTCCCAAGACGCGGTACACTCTCAGCCGCGTGTCAGTGCGTCCCATCCCAAAAAAAATTCAATAGAAAGCGGTAGTGTATATGTCGCGTTCCAAGTTACAAGTCAAGTCGGAGTCAAGCACATATATATGTTTCACCTAAAATGTAGGCATATTGATATATTCATTGTAAAAGAGTTCATAAAATCCAATAAATCAAATAGTACCCAATCTTATACCCCTGTTTTGTGTTTGGTCTGCTTTCCCGATTTCCAATATGTGAAAGAAACAATTTAATCCAAAATTTTAACGTGATGAGTGAGAGTTTTTTTTAATGATTTATATTATGGTAAACAAAAAAAGTAGAATCTATGCAAAATTCATACTTCAAACCCAAAGGGCTTTCGTATGAGTGAGTGTGTAAGTGAATAACTTGTTGCTTTTATTGGATTTTTGGAACTCTTTTACCGTGAATATATCAATATGTCTAAATTTTAGGTGAAATATATATATATGTTTGACTCTGACTTGACTTGTAACCTGGAACGCGACTTATACACTACTGCTTCCTGTTGAATTCTTTTTGGGATGAGACGCACTGACACGCGGCTGAGAGTGTACCGCGTCTTGGGAATAGGACGTGATTGCCAAGGTATCACGTTCCAGTAGTCTTGGGAATAGGACGTGATTGTCAGGGTATCACGTTTCAGTCGTCAGAAACAAATGCAAAGGACGCGGTTGCTAAAGTGTCACGTCTTAACGTGATTCTCATGATACCACGTCGTTATGCATTATATAAGTAATAATTTTGATCAAGAAATTATTCCGGTAAAACCTTATCAAAATCAACCTACTAATGTCAAAAAGCCAAATAAGTTGTCAGCTAAAAGTTTATGTTGAGCATTCTGGTTCTATATATTCTGACCACAAAAAAAGTGTAGGCTAGCCAAAGCGTGCTACAAAATCCAATGACCATCATGTGCTGCCACTGAATTCTGTGCCTTTGCCTCTTCTCCCATGACAACGCGTCGACGGAATAGAAAACCACTCCTTCACCCATGAAACCCCATAAACTACTCCTATGAAGAATAAGCACCAAGCTCACGAGATCAAACCTTAAAAAACAAAAAACTCATTTTCATTGCACAGTCCCTAGTTAACTTGTATTTATTCACCATCGTTCGTCTACGATCACCAAGTTATAATTGACTCAATTGAGAACACGATGAAAGAAAACATTAACCAAGAATAAGTTTTAGCTGAATCTTTTGCATCTCTTTGGTGTGTCCGTAGCACTTCTGTCTCTCTACCATTCTGTAAATACCAATTTACTCTCAACTTCAGGGAGTTGCAATGGTATCCTAACGGGTATGGTATATAATATGATTTGTCAAGCATTTATTGAATGATAGTTTTATAATAAATGTTTAAACTTTGGGTTTTATATTTATTATGTTATATAACATAACTCCACTTTCATACACACATCAAAAATAATCTCTTTCATCATTTCACTTTCTCTTCTTTGTTCTGTGTAGTAAAATTATGTAACATAACAAACATAAAACACTTAAACTTTTATTAACTATAATCAGTAGTCAATCAAATCCCCCTTACCAAAGATTTAATACTAACTTTCATTTTTTTTCTTTGGGGAATCTATTTGCCCTTTCGTGGTTTTTATTTCACACTCTTCAACGTAAGGCTTCTATGCACTGGAGTGATACATCGCACAGCAGGTCTCATTTTTTCGTCTATAAGCAATTTTTGTTAATGGCTTACTTACAAGTAGTACACTAGTACAGTGTATAGCTTAATGGGTTTCAAACAAATTCTAAATCCGTATAAAAGAGTAACTAAAAAAAAAAAAATTAACAAGTGGCGTCGCCCGGGTTCGAACCGGAGACCTTCAGTGTGTTAGACTGACGTGATAACCAACTACACCACGACACCTTGATGTTCTCGATTGTGAAGTAAGAGTAGATTTAAAAACATTTCTTATTAATTATTTCGTAATAAAATTTATCAATATCGTCTTATTTGCTAAAAAATTATAAAGATTTCCTTAGCACGTTCATACATTATATTATTTAATATAATATTACGACTAAATCTCTAATTAGTCCTTCGAATTAATTACTTTATTTTAACTAATCAAAATCTTAATATTGTTATTAAGAATTGGTTTAAACTCAACCACAAATCCAACATTTCATGACACTTTCGAGTATATTTAGAGTCAAATTCTTCGCAAATTAATTCAATGAATGAATAATTTTTTTTTTGAAATATATAAAAAAAATTATTTTATTTTAATTGTATACAACATATGTCAATTCAAATTTTCTTGAATTTGATTTAATTTTAATTTAAGTGTTGAATTGAAATTTTTGCTTTTATCAATAAATTATTTAATTTATTTTAAGTAAGGGTAATAAAGTACATTATTAGTATTGAATTAATTCAATTTATCTTCAATGTATTCTAACCATAAAATCTAATAGTTAAATCAATTCAATTATTTTTTGTTAATTATTATTATTATTATTATTATTATTATTATTAATTTTAAATACACAATTTTCTAACTCAAGTCAAATCATTTTTAATTTTTATTAAGTTATTTATAATTTTTTATGATTGTAATCACAACTTTTAAAATGTAATTACTTGAAGCCACTTGGATTGATTTAATAGCAAAAAAATTAAATATTTATCTCACCGTGTCACTACTGAAATCACCCTAAGAGATACATGAGAATTAAATGAAATCATCCTTCCCTAATATATGTGAGAATAACATGTAAAATTATTTGTTACCTTTGTTCTCTCCTAGTCCAGGAGATCTCTGCAACGACAGTAGAATTGGAGTATTCGATGGATGCAATCCACAAAAGGAAATTTTACTCTGATTATTTTCTTGCTATATATGGGTGAGACTCTTTTTGAGAAGGGATTCTTCTCGTTTGGTTTTTGTATTGTCTTTCTTTTGGGTTTTTTCATTATCCATATACAAAACGAACAATGTAACCAACAAACACAAGCGTTAGGCTTTAAGGCTATGATGCAAATTCCTTGTAAACAGTCCATCCAAGTAACAAGATACCTTCGTGGGTTTTTACATTAATTCTAATGCTGACACACCAGTAAACTTGCAATGGAGGGTGAAGTCTTAAAGCCCAAATTGCAACTGATTAGCAAGATAAGATGTTAAAGACACTGAAATTAAAGATACAAACCCTTTTAACAGAAACATAAACGTCAGTATCTATACCCCACAGGCATACCAAGCTTGTCCAAACGACCAGAACCTGGATAGGCTTTGCTGGTGAAGCTTGCATGCAATGCTGATGTCTTCTGTGTAGCCAATCTTGACTCACCAAATCCATTGAGTGAGTACCTATTAGATGAGGTGGACCTCTCATATAGAGGCCTTTGTTTTGGGGCACTCAGAGATCTAACCTTTGCTTTTGAAGACTCAGTATATGCCATGTAACTTGGGTAGTCAGAATAACCACGAAGGTAGTTTCTTGAGCCATCACTTCTGGTAGGAGTAAAAGGACTTCTTTTGTAGCCATCATCTTTAGAGGTGGCAGATAAAAATTGGGGACTATTTTCTGCAGTGCAGAATGGACTCTCCTCAACCTCGTTGATTTTTACTTGGCTATAAGACTGAACTTCACAAGATGGACTTTGACCAGATTGAAGAGATGTTGACTCTTTTGAAGTGGTCAAACTCTTACTAAGATGATCAGAACCTAAAGCATGACTGGTGGAGTGAAAGAGGTTTCTACGTCTAGATGTGAAGTGGGGTTTTCCAGAATCAATTTCAAGAATCCTATCACTTTTTTCATCATTCGTGCTACAGGTTCTCATCAATGATCTTCCTTGATTCCATGATTGTTCATCTACCTGACTCGCTGGCCTATTCCCATGTTTCTCTTGATTGCCATTTATCAGGAGACAGGATTTGGAGCCATTTCTCTGCAATGATATAAATCATTCCATAAGTAGACATAATGCATCACATTTACCCTTGCTGGGTAAGAGATGGCAAAGAAAATACCTTGAGTATAGGTGAGTGCTCATATTTCAAACTCTTAGATCTGATAGGGCTTTCAAATTTGTCTGGTGTTGCTGGACCCTGCACAAATGTTCATTTGGAAAACTATATGATCATACCAAGAGCAATATAAATTTGCAGAATCAGCATTTTAATCGACAAATTTAAAAGATGTTCAACCATGTGATAGATACATTATTGGTTAACTAGAGAATGAGTTAATCTCTACAGTTGCAAACCAAATTATGTTGGATTTTATTTCAACTATTAGTCTACGTGATTGCTCATATCAACCTATGAATTGGTGCATCAGCATTTCGATTGACAAAGTCAGATTTATCCATTTTAAAGACACAACAAACACTACATGAAAAGGAGAGGAAGACTTAATGGAAGAAGCAATTTACTAATAGTTACATGGAGGTGGCACGTAGATGACTTTGCACTTGAATATGAGTTCTGCAAGGTACGTCCTGCACAGACTCGTGCCTGTGTTCGTAAGAGTGCTTGCATTCTTTTCAGCATCTCTGCTGTACGCTTCCTCGCAATGTGACCTCTCACCAATGCTTGTAGCTTCACCAACCCTTTTAATGCTCGTAGTGCTCTCCTTGCCTAATAAATTCGATATTATAAAGTAAATGAGTAGAACTAATATCTTGACTGCAACAAGGTTAAAATCAAAGTTATAGCAGGTAATGAATTGAAGCAATGATTGATAAGCCACTGCACTCTCTTCCTAATAAATCATATTCAAATCAGATAAATAAATAATATTCTTACCCGCCCTTCCTTCACAAACTCCTTTATCAAAATATAAGAGAAGACAAAAACACAACACCAGCTACCCCATAAAAAGAGAACACATTTTGAACAGGACTAAACCATAAATAAACTAAAGTATACGTCTGAATCTCCAACATTAGTGTTATTATTAATTCCATAGTCAACTAAAAGATAGCCTAGGCAGGCTCCACATTAAGCCTAAGACACTACACCATCTTTTTATTAGTCTCGGAAAAATCATTAAAGCCATCCTCACTCTAGAGTAGCAAATTCCTTTTACACTCGTATCTGTCCCCACAAGACCAAAAGGCAAAAAGCCAAATGTCATTATTATACCAAAAAGGGTATGGAATTTTTTATTGAATACCGGTGTGGGAAATCAAATATTGAACAAGAGTACCCAGCGTTGACTACTAAAAAATAATGGTAAGAGTAACCAGCTACACTATAGTATTAAATAAATAAAAAATTAAATTCATCATATACTAAATACCCTTACTGTGTATTAAATATTTTATTTTATTTTTTACACTTTACATTTTATTTTATTTTTAACGGGAAGACTAGTTAGCAGGGTCCTTACAGTTATGATGAAAAAAAAAAAAAAAAAACTACGCTTAGATTACAGATTCACAGACACCACTTAACAACAATTCAATTTTCTATTTCTTTCTCATTCAGTCATGTTTTCCGCTCATAATCGCTCACATCCCTATGAGATGTACATTATACGCTACTACTGAACTGAAGAGTGAAGACCCAATTTATTTATTTTTATCAAAAATCAATTTCAGAGACAGATTCAGATACATTTAAATGAGAAAAGTAAATACAACAATTTACACATTTTGTAGATAAATCATAAAACTCTTTCAGGATACCAGAAAAAATTGTATTCTAGAAAAAAGAAAAGAAAAGGATAATGCGTGCACGTAAAACCATTCAAGCTTTCACACAGACACAGACACAGACATAGAAGTAATCAAAAGAAGAAGAAGGAGGAGTGAGGAATGAAATTAATAAATAACGGATACTAACCAAACAGCCTCGAAAAGCGGCTTGGATCTTAACGGCTGCCCATTCTTCGCGAATCCTGAGGCCTCCGGCGGCCTCCGCGCACCTGCCGCTGCTGCTTGTTAATCTGACGACGGCGGCAGCCGCTTGAGCAGCAGCCACAGCCGCCTCCGCAACCGCAGCAGTGGCGGCAGCGACCGCGATGGCGTGCTTGTTGTCCACGTGTTCTGATAAGGTGACGTGGCGGTGGACAGTGTTAGCAACAACATCATGGTTGTTGTTGTTGTTGATGATGATGTTGTTGTTGTCTTTTTCTTTGTATGATTTCCCGAAGGTCCATCGTCGTTTCTCTTTGGGTGGCTTCCCAGCTGAGCTACTCTCTGCTTTTCTCATACCAAGGAGTCCTCGAAACCACTTTGACGCCTTTCCCATTTCTGAAGCAAACGGTTTTGGATTTGAGAGAAAGAGAAGAAGATGAGAGAGATGAGAGCTTGGGAGTGAGAAATGGAAGAGAATGGGGTTTTGTGTAAGGAAACAGTGTGTCCCTTTGTGGACCTTCCAACCAAACCAACTTTCACCCTCTGTTTAACTATTTGGGGCTTAAGCTCGATCATATATTAAATCTATTCTATTAGTTTTCTCGACTGTAGGAGGTAATTTAATTATCTCATCTCATATAAACATTAAAAGATGTGCTATAATTTATTTTTATTTTTTAAATCTGTGAATTTCATATTTTTTGTTACTATAAGAAAAAAAAACTTCTCGTATTAAATAAGAAAAGTATTATCCTGTATTATTTTAGAATAATCTACATTTTAATAAATGTTTATTAATTCGAAACAGTTAATGGAATATCCATCCAACATAAATTTAAGAATGCTGGTACAAAATCCAATGGATACTGAGTGTAGCTCAATTGCTAAGAATTTGATTTTTACCGGGTGTTTAGTTCAGGTGAAATTTTTTTTACTAGAAAAATGTAATTACTAGGGATCTGTAGGAAAAATGAGTTAGATAGAAAAATTTTAAAAGAGTTGTTTGGTTGAACAAAATTTTACTAGAAAAATTTGAGTGAAATTCCTGAATGTGTATTTGATTGAAGATAAAATATTGATGGAAAAATTTATTGAAATTACAAAATTAGCCTTTTAAAAATAACCCTATAGGACCAATTATCCTTTTCATATGTGGAGTAATTGTGTCACCCATTTGTATCACTTTTCACTTATCCAATTTTTAAAAACAAATACCACCTTCAATAATATTTTCTGGAACCATCATTTTGTTGCTTTTTACATGCAAAACATGATAGCTAGGCAACTCACTTTGATGAGTAAAATTGAAGAAATCAATGAACCAAACATAGACAATTGGATATGTGGGAATCACTTTGTTGCGAAACAATGGAAAATCCTTGAACCAAACACCACCTAAATATATATTTGGAGATGGGTGGGAAATTTTAACTCAAAATTAATCTCATAATCAAATAAAAAAATTGAAACTTAGAAAAATACATAATGATTCGCCGCAAAAAAGTAATTAAGTTGTGTATAATAAAAAATGTTTGTTGGACAAATATATCTGTCTGATCTGTCACTAAATTCTTGAGATGAGAAAAAAAAAATGAATCGGTAAATATTATTTGCCTTAAACTGTTACACTGTCAGGTTAGTCAAGAATGAAAAAGTCGACTATTTGATCAGTTTGGAGTTTTTTCCATTTAAATATGTCAATTTGGTATCTGATTGAGAGATATTACCATTTGGGGTCTTTGAGTGCCGCATAAGGGACCCAGAGGCTCTAAATGACGCCCTCATCCCCTGCAGCACTCATATGATTTTTATTTTTATTTTTTCTGAAATCAATGTCGCTCCCTGTCCCCCACGACACCAATTAAATTTTTTATTTCTTAACATTACCGCCCCCACGGCACTTAATGTAATCAATCCGATATATACCAACAAGATAAAAAATAAATCTTGTCCTTCGTAACAATTACTCATTACTTCCCTTTGATAACCAGCAATCTCTCAAGTCTCAATTAGTTTAAACAAACATTTTAAAACAAAACCACTCAGTCACAAAAGGAAATTTGAAATAATTTATCTACAAGTCCATCATAACATATGAATCATAAAGCTCTATTTACATGAGAAACTTTTTCAACTCCACGAGCAATGGGTTGCTGCAGAAGTTAGGGACTTCCTTCATCTTAATCTTCCTGATGCTACAGAAGAGGAAAGCATTAGCCATGCTGACTCTTAACACACCTTGGTGGGTAGTAGAAGACAACCACAATCACAAACATGAGGCACTGGTAGGCCTCATGTCTAGCTAAACCTCGTGGTTTATTCCATCAGTGGTTCAACTTCAGAGTGAAGATTCAAACTGTATAGAAATACTTCTGCATTAATTTCATTAAGTTTTCTCTAGATTCGTGTTTTCTTCAAGGTATTTCTGTTCTGTTTTTGATTTTTCAAGTTGTACATGAGATGAACTTTCTGTCCTTTTTGTGTTCTAATATTTTTTTTTTTTGGAAGCTATATGTTTGTTACTATGTTAATAGAATAAGTTCAATTTCTGCAAAGTTTTAGCTTATCATTTTAGTTCTCTTTCGAAATCCCAAGACATCTAACAGATTTTTGTTTTCACTCACTTCTGCAGCAACCCATTGCTCGTGGAGTTGGAAAAGTTTCTCATGTAAATAGAGCTTTCTGATTCATCTGTTATGATGGACTTATGGATAAATTATTTCAAATTTCCTTTTGTGACTGAGTGGTTTTGTTTTAAAATTTTTGTTTCAACTAATAGAGACTTGAGAGACTGCTGGTGTCAAAGGGAAGTAACGAGTAATTGTTACTCTTGAGATATAAAAAACCATTAATGTAGCCTCACCCAATAGCTTAAGCTTTTGAGTTGAATTAGTTCTTTACATGGTATCAGAGCCTCGTGTCCCGGGTTCGATCCTCGTCGTCCCCACTTTCTTTCAAGTGGAATTTCTTTGTTCGCACAGGTAGGTGGGCATGTGCATTGTCCACCCTTCAAGCCCAGTGGTCTCTCGTGTGAGGAGGCATGTTGAGATATATAAAACCATTAATGTAGCCTCACCCAATAGTTTAAGCTTTTGGGTTGAATTGGTTCTTACAGTTACGAAGGACAAGATTTGTTTTTTATCTTGTTATTAAATATCTGATTGATTACATTAAGTGTCGTGAGGGGTAGAGGCGGTAGTGTAAAGAAATAAAAAATTTAATTGATGCCATGGGGGACAGGGAGCAGCATTGATTTCGGAAAGAAAAAAAAAACAAATCACATGAGTGCCACAGGGGGAAAGGGGCGTCATTTAGAGTCGCTGGGTCCCCCTGCAGCACTCAAAAACCCCAAATGATAATATCTCCCAATCAGATACCAAATTGGTATATTTAAACGGGAAAAACTCCCAACCGGTCAAAGAGCCTGAAAAAGTCTTTACCAAAAGGGTGTTTGGTTTAAGAGAAAAATTTTGAACACTAGAAAAATATAATTACTAGGGAAATGGTGGGAAAGTAAGTTTGGTAGGAAAATGTAAAAAAAGTTACTTGATTGGAAAAAAAATTTATCAAAAAAATTAGATAAAATTTATAAAGTCTATGTTTGGTTGGAGGTAAAATATTGATGAAAAAATGAATTGCAATTACCAAAACAACCCTTTTATAAATTTTTTGAATCACCAAATAACCTTTTACCCATAATATTGAAAAGTGAGATGTTAGTCTGCAATTAGATTTGGTGGTAGACATCACTTTCTGCAATTAGATTAGGTAAGGGTATATTTGTCAGAAAATTGTTACTTTTTGGAACATTTAGCTAGACAACCCGAAATACCTGCTCTGAAGTGAGATTGTGTTACATGTTTATTTGGTGCAATTTACATGCAAACATGGATAGCTGGGGGAATAATTTTAGTAGAAAAATATTGTAATCTGTTTAACCAAATATGGTATAACGAAATTCCCAAATTATCAATGCCTATCTATCTTAGGAGATAGCTTATCAAACACAACCTAATTGTCTTGAGTGAAAAGTTATAAGTCTAATATTATATTTGATTTAAAATTTTAAGAAATAAGTTAGTGTATTCTACAAAAAAAATTTCTACACAAATTCATTTTCCGTGTCAATTAATTTTTTTTTTCTAATATAAAATATGGGACCCACATTTAATTTGTCTCTACTTTTGTTCTCTAATATTTTCATGTAACATAAGAAAACATAAACCTTATAAAAATTTATATTGTAGAGTAGTAATTAATGATATCAGATATTTTGTGGATCCTAGACTACCATAAAACCCCCAGTCCCCCACCAAGCCTGCAGCCACTAAAGCACGGACACGCTGATCAAACAAAATTTTGCGTGTCGGACACGTGTCCGACACGGACACGCTCCGACACGCTCGGACACGCGTCCGACACGGACACGCTCCGACACGCTCGGACACGCGTCCGACACGGACACGCTCCGACACGCTCGGACACGCTCCGACACGCTCGGACACGCGTCCGACACGGACACGCTCGGACACGCGTCCGACACGCTCGGACACGCGTCCGACACGTGGTCAACATTTGGGGACACGCGGTCAACTCTCCGACACGTTCCGACACGTTTTTTGGACACGCAGTCAACGCTAGGACACGCTCGGACACGTTTTTTTTTTTTTTTAAATCTTAATTTTATTTTGTTAACTAAATATAAAAGAAATAATTTATAAATTAATTTTTTTCTGTTATGAAATTTGACATGAAAAATTAACAAAGTACGAAAAATTATTTATATTTATATTTATGTTATGAAATTTAAATATTTGATTGGTTATATGACTTATTATGGACTCTTATATGTCTTAAATATAAATTATATTATATATATTAAAAATTTATTTAATATCAAAACGTGTCCCAACGTGTCCAAATATGACATTTTTTAGAATTAACGTGTCGGCGTGTCGTGTCGTGTCGTGTCTCGTGTCCCGTGTCCGTGTCCGTGCATCATAGCCTGCAGCCACGAAGCCTATCATGAGAAATAACTCATCTACACTTTAGAAGGAGCCATCAATCCCTGAGATTAAATTCTTGTGTGATATATTATTGGAAAATATTTTTTATTTTATTTTAAAGGATATATTTTTGTATCATTTTAAGTTAAATGATTATATTTTGGTATATGCCTATTAGTTTTTTATATTTTCTACTTCATAAAATTAGGAGAAGAGAGAAATAAAAAATATTATATTAGGAGATAGAATTCAAAGGGCTAATAAATATATGCAAAAATACTATTGTTTTACTTAAAATAATATAAAATTATGTCTTTTAAAATGATAAATATTTTTTATATGCCTATTTGCAAATAAATACAGTTTAGTTTATTAGTAATTATTGGTT